TTTGTTTTTATTTTTATTTCCGTTAACGAAAATGTTTTTTCACTTCTAGTTTTCGTTATTTCGTTAGTTTTCGTTAACGATAATAACCTTGGTAACGACTTTGCTAGAAATGCCAGGATAACCAGTGGATATTCATAAAGTGCATAGATTTGAATGGGAACCTTAGCTTGTGGGTCCTTTATTCAAAAGGGCTAGGCTTGTTACTATGGCTCTTTAGGTTGTCAACGTTATCTATTTTTAAACACAAAGGTATGATTGATTGTACATTATTTGCTTTAAAACAAGAAGCATACTGCTGGGGTTTGATTACACATAGATACAGACAGTGTGTGGAAAAAAACTACAACTGAAACCACAGGATTTATACAAAGGTTGAAAAAGCTTTGTAAAAATCCTGAGTTAAAGCCCAGAAAAGTGTCCTTCTGTTGGAGACTGCCACTCAGAAGACCAGACAACATTTTTCTCTGTGAACTGTTCTTACAGGAGTGTTGATTTCTGCTGCTGCAGCCCTTCTGCTTTAAAGGTTGACATGTTGTGGATTGAAAGCTGCTTTTCTTGTTTTGTCTCGGTTGTTACAACTGGATACTCGAGTTACTGTTGTTCTGTCAGCTTGAAGCAGTCTGACCATTTATCTCTCATATCTGTTATCAACCTGGCATTTTGGCCAAGAGAGCGGACACTGGCTGGATGAGTCCTAGAAAGTAAAGGTCTTAAAATGAAGCCACTCTCTGAATTCTTATGTATGTAGAAGAATCCAAAGAGTAACTGGCCTGCTGTGTTGAGGAGAGGAAGTTTAGCAGTAAATAAAAAACAACCAAGAATACTTACTGTGTAGTACTCTACAGGTGCTGTTTTGCAGGAAACTTGAGTGCTTTTCAAAAATCCATTTGTACTAATAGTCGTCTTCCCTTGTCACTGAGAAGAAAATGCAGGTTTCTCATCTGATAATCACCGTCTGATGCTTTGGAAGAATCTTCATTTGAATCATTATGCACACCCACCACAAGTAAAATCTTTCAGATCAACTCTGCATGGCCACTGTGCCAGCTGCTGGTTTGTTCGTGCCCACATGTTTTTGCAGGGTTAGTTAAACTACAGAGAGTTGAATACCTGCCTCTCAGAGTCCTTTTGCGAACCGCAGCGTTCGACTGTATGGTTTTCCAAGCTGACCAGTATTCCCTTTGAAGCTTGAACAAAGCATAAACAATGGGCTTTGATGGCATCATCAGCGGCCGTGGAGCAAGGCTTCACCATATGGTGCATGCCCTCGCTGTGACTCACACAGTTTGCCACTGGCTTTCATTGAAACAATGGACCATAGACCAGGGGGCGAGGTGTCAAATCCTTTAATCCACGACTTGAGAAAATGGCTGAAAGAGTGTTTGCTGCATGAATTGTTACACAATTCTTCACATCAGAGTCAACAAGAGACAAAACACAACCTGACATCCACCGGCACCACAGTAGCATAGAGTAAAATCCACGTTTTTATCTTAACACTACATGCAGATTTCTGTGTATACTAACATATCTTAAATGGTTAGTTTATCTAAAGTATGAAACCCTTATCAATATCAAATATTTATCAAAGTTCAGCAAGTTTATATTATATGACATTTATTTTGCAATTCAGAAGAACTTTGTTAGA